AAAGGATAAAACTTTTTTTAAGTTAATGATGGGTTTAAGCATAAATTTTTTTTTAAGTTAACGATGGGTTTAAACATAAAAATTCGGATTTACCGACAAAAGAGTTAGGAACCAAAAAATAAGTTCCACTATTTATTTACAAACTACGAGCTATGGTGACGACTAAAGCTGTAGCAAATTGTATGTAATCGGTACTGAGTAACGGGTGCCCATCTGGTACCGAGTAACGAAACGTTTCACATGAATGCATTTTGTTACTCGCATTTTTCATAGTATGGGTACCTACCATAGATTTCTGTATATATATACTAGAGATACCTACACTATTTCCGTTCAGGCAAGTACCGTCGATGCGGGTATTGAAACATCATTTGCTCATCGTTTGTATGTTTTACGCACGCGCACGCTTATTCGGTGAATTTAAAAACGTACGTTACAAAGAGCGATGTTTGTTTATTAGGAAAAGTATAATTTGGAAAACGTCGTTCAAGTTTTTTTACTGTTTATTAAAGATATTTTGTGTGTAAAGTTTAAGGTTGGAACAGAAACAAGGTAAGAAAGTATTTTTAACAAATTAAAAATAAGTATGTTTTCTACAAATTACGAATGTTGCGAAGCCGTGACGTCATACTGTACGCGTACGCAATACAACTTAAGATGAAACATCGAAAACGCTATCGCTATATTGATCCGAGTGAATACATAATTTCTATAAAAACTTGAAGAAACGCCGTCATAAGGTCTAAAATTACATAGTACCCGCGACGATTAAAATCGCTTAGAAATTGTCAGAATCTTAAAATATTTTTTAAAAAATTATTGATTTAAGTTTTCAAAATAATGAGCAAGTAAATTATGAATATTTATGTTATGAATATATTTGAGTGATTTCCAAGCATATAGATTAAATGATTTCGTTGTAATTTCAACTATAGTGATTTTTTAGAGGTGTTTTCGCAAATAATTATGATCGAGTCAAAATTATACAATCGTGTTTTTGAGCAATCAATTTCAAGATAAAGACATGAATTTACCTATATCAAATCCCACTTTCGTTAGTGGTGTCATAGTCCTATACTATTCGATGAAAGGAGGTGCATTTTTTCACGGTGTCGCCTTAATTCGATGCTCTAACTTAATATAGCATGCTATGAGGTATCAGAAGTAACGAGTAACGTAACGATACGATAGTAACGAGTACTAATTTATGTAGTAGCGAATATATACGGGTACATATTATTTCGTTACTTTTACACTTCTAGTGATGACCAAAATTGCCAGCTTTTTTATACGACTTCAGAATCTGTTATTTGGAATATACTTTGAATTAGAGTTATTATTTTTAAGTATAACGCTTGTGTTGGGAGTTATGCCTCTCAAAAGAAAGACAGATATCCCATATAAAATACTTATATAAGGTAAATAAATAAAAATTACCATTATTTACCATTAAACAATAAAATCATTACGGGTAAACCAATAAAGATTTGACAAATATGGACAAAAGGCAGTACAGTGCATACGTGCACAGTAGCAGCATACACAGTGTTAACAAAATTTTCCAGTAGAGAGAATACCAGTACAGTTAATTTGGAGGGCATCTTCTTTTTATTTTCCCATTTTGGTCACATCGAAGGAAGAGTAAAAAAACCAGTACTAAATAAGTTAACAACAACGTTATGTTTTCCTGGTCTATTAACTTAGCATAAAACAATGTGACTGCGTCATTACTTAGTAGTCTTAATTACGACTGATGATCATGTGACCCCGGGTTAAAATCAAAACCTGTTTTTTTATAATTCTGTCTAGAAATTGTTAGTTCAGCTGCGCACTTTAAAAAGCACATAAAGCCATTGGTGATCCGCCTAATGCTTTTCCCTTCGTGCCGATTTTCCGTTCCATTGGACTATGAGACTAAATGAATAAAGAGTATACCTGTGCTTGCACACTCGTATAAACCTGTCCTACGCAGATGGCTAGTATCTGCCTGAAGGACATCTTGATGATGTCCTTTAAGCAGATACTAGACTGACTACATATTCTCCGATAAGCATAGCCTAGACACATTCATACATGTATACCTATTTTTAAATGCAACATAATAGAGCAACGCTACGTTATGGCTGGAAAGTGACTAGAAATTATGGATCGACTCAACGGGGTAAGAACCATATTTTAACGTTGTACAGTTATAGTTATAGTTTATACCATTAGTTAATACTTTGATCAATAAGTTTTCGGAATAGGAGATTTATTAATGAATTACATTTGTGAGTTCTATTTTTTTTCGAATCTTAAATTTGTTAGTAGCCAAGGCCAGAAAAAACTAAATTAAAAACTATTCCCAATTTATTTATCCAACTTCACATTTGGCTGGAATTTGATTCGTATGCAATATGAAAAAACTCGAACTAAAATTTTTTTCTACAAAAAATGTTTTTCAAAAAATACAGTCTACTTAGGCAGACAATCCTTCGTCTTATTCTACAGTGGTATACTAGTGCGCTGAATTTAAACGCAGCGGAACCGCTTGCAATGATGACCCATTATTATAATGACAATTTGCTATCTCATAAAAACGTCTGCAGTCCAATATTTATGTTTAAGTAGATCTAAAGCCGAGATTATTAGAATAGAAAAAGGGAAGTTACCTGCAGGAAAGTTATTGTGGTTAGATTCAACGTTAATTTGTGTCAGTCTTGGTTCAACATCAATTATTGGTATCGGTGTTATATACGTAACCTAGAAAGAAATATAAAAGAAAATGTCAAATATTATGTTCACTGCCACGACTAAGATGAATAAAATGACATCCTACATAATTAAATCCATTTAGCCGGATAGGCCACAGATTATGCCAAAAAAATCCACATATATTAGATTCATAAAATCAAAAAACATCACACCTTTTCTGAATCAGTCGGATAAAAAAGGAAAAATATTGAAAACACTTACTTCATGTCCAGCATTTAGCAAATGTTTAACAAATGCATGGCCAAGTATTGAATGACTTTTTCCAGGAATTGGAAATACTACGAGTAGTTTGTACGGTTGACAATAACCAAACATCCACTGTATTATTAAAAACTTAATAACGATATTGATCAACATAATATTATTTTAAGAGTACTTGAGTTGATCGCGATCGGATACGGAATGTTTATATTGTATTCTTACAATACTGATCATACGTCAGTATATACTGACTATAAATCATTATTTGCATTGTCTTCTTTATTACTGTGTTTTATCGTTTACTTGCTGAGCGTTTATTTACCGTGACAATCTTAAAGTAAATGGCACATTTAATAGCACATTTTGACCTGTTAACTTATATTTCCCTAGTCACGCAAGAGTATAGGCTAGTAGGCGATAATACGAGTACATATTTTGTAAGTGTTGTTTAAACACCGATTTTTATAAAATAAGTACATTTTATCCCGGATGAACACAATTAATAATCCAGAAAAATATTGAAAGAGAACGAAATATAATTTCGATAAGAAATACAAGATACAATTAAATGAAAACAGCCAGCCGGAAGGATTAAGCCCAAAAGAGCTTAGAATTTTCACCGATGGTTCTAAAACAAATGAAGGTGTAGGTTCTGGAGCTTTCTCTGAAGACCTCAATATTCACATACGCACACCGCTGGGTACCTATAACACGGTCTTTCAGGCGGAATGTATGGGTATCATTCAAGCGGCCATAGCAATAGATGCTAGGAAGGTTAATGACTTCCCCATCAGAATACTGACCGACAGTAGGGCGGTACTACAAGCTCTGAGTTGCAATGGGGTGAACTCGGGACTAATATATGAATGCCATCAACGATTAAATGAGGTATGTAAAAACAACAATGTGACTCTGCAATGGATAAAGGGACACAGTGGATCCAGAGGCAACGATGCAGCGGACGAACTGGCCAGAAGAGGATCGGCTCTGGCCACTATAGGGCCGGAACCAATCATACCAATCCCCTTTGGTAACGTTCGTTCAATGGTACGTAGACACTTCACTAATCAACACGCTCAGCTTTGGAAAAATCTAGTAGACTGTAGACAAGCTAGGGAGGCCCTACCTGTAATAAACAGTCGCTTAACCAAAGTTCTAATGAGACTGAACAAGCCGCAGATCAGGATAGTAACAAGTGCTATCACAGGACACGGCACCTTTAACAAACATTTATTTACTATAGGTGTTACAGATAGTCCCCTGTGCAGGGCATGTATGGGGGAGGAAGAAACGGCGGCCCACGTGCTACTGAAATGTCCGGAGGTCCCTACGTACAGGGCTAAACATCTCGGCACGCCGGGATCACTCCCCGAAGTTGCATGCAACATCAAGGGACTGTTGAGCTTCTTCGGGGAGATCTCATGGCTCGAATAATCACATTATTCCTGCCCACACGCAAAATACGCGCATAGACGTGGAGTTGCGGAAAACAACCCGTCGCAAACTAAGCGGGGTTCGATCCCCGGCGGCACCAATGAAATTGTTAATTGAAATTTTAAGTGATGATTTACCACGTGCTCGGCGGTGAAGGAAAACATCGTGAGAAAACCTGCATGTCTGAAGAATAAGTAAGAAAAAACAATATTTCGAAGACATATATATATATATATATATATATATATATATATATATATATATATATATATATATATATATATATATGTTCGCCAACACGCATTAGGGCAGCGCAGCGGACACTTCCTTGCGGGACGTATATAGGTTGTGACTTTACTTTACTTTATAATCTTTACTGGTAAGCATATAATCAAACTCTTAAAAAATATGACAAACCTACTTCGACTATCTATATAGAATAAAATAATTTCAATATAATTCTTTTATACACTTTATTCTTACATTTTACACAATTTTTTTACTTTTTTGCAAGTTTGATTATTTGATCCTTATTAGTGGACTTAATATAATAATGTCCTTTAGACCAAATTTCGGTCAAGGAGACTAATCTGAACGAAGCTTGTCAGCTAGGATTATAATGTGTATGCGTGTATGCGCAAGCACAGGAACACTCTTCCCTCACTTTCATATCCCGATGGGACGGCAATCCGACACGACCGGAGAGAGATCAGGTGCAGGACCATCGGCTTTACGTGCTTTCCGAGATACGGGGTGAAAATTAAATACCGCCTAATTCCTGACTCCGGGCTGCCTCTGAGAATTTCTCGACAGCATGAGCCAAAACTGATCATGTTGTCCCGGGTTCGTATCCCGTGTCTAGCCAAAACCAGTTGTTGGGTTTTCTATCAAGTAATTTTCAGTAGCGGCCCGAGGTTGGCGGCCATTCCTCGGAAGGTCGAATATCTTGGTCTTGCTCCTGATCTCTCTCCAGTCGTATTGGATAGCCGCGGTCCATCTGATTATAAGAGTGAAGGAACAAAGAATGTAGGTGTGCTTGCGCACACTTAAGCAGTGTAATCCATAGACATAATAAAAAGATACAAAAACCATCAAGAAAATGAGCAGAAATACAGTGTTGTTATGTGGCAGAAGAAGACGCTAGCTACCTTGACAAAATACAAAATGACATTAGAGTAAAAAAGGAAATTACAAACTTTAGTTACACCAGATGGTTATTGGTCAAAGCAGCCGACAGACACCTGTGGCTAACATCAAACAAAGAATGCTATACAGACGCCTTTGAGCACTAAGACCACCTATGTATGTAGGATTTTAGGAGTGGATAGGTGTCGACGATATCCTTACATATAAGCTTTTTCGCACCCACTCACCCTTGCTTGGGTCCAAAAATCATATAAGTTTCATATTTTTCTAAGAAAAAAAATCCTGCATCAATTACAATCAGGGCAGATTTCTTCATAAATATGATGTCTGTTTAAATTTGACTATTCATAGCAGACTTCATAAATGGAGAACGATCACAATAAGACCACACACGCAGTCCTGAGTCACCTGAATCATCGACCTCCTGCATCTTGACATTATCGTCATTTAGTGAACATCACTTGGTACAATTAAAAGAATAATAAAATTAAACCTTTAAAAAAGGAAAAACTGACTAAAAATAAAAATAATTTTCAAATTAATTCAGTCATTCTTAATTATACTTCCATTAGTCAGTTACAAGAAACTTGTTTGTAAGGCGTACATAAACGTGCTGGTAGGGTTGGTATTTTGAGAAGAAGTTTCACATCTCTTATACCCTTACATACGAGATATTGTAGCTATGGGAATAAACTACCTAAATATGTGTAATGCAACACATGCGCATAAGGTTGGAAATAAGAAAAGACGTTTTTATATCGTTACGCGTGTACATAGGAGCCGTTTTAGCTCAAAATGTACACGCTCTAATTAAATTTTATCTGTACGTGGTAGAGACACGTTGCAGCTATAAGGTTGTTGCACAAATAAGTCGGCTCGACCGGGGAAGGACCACGCTCTCACAGAATATCAACGCAGCTTAATGCTGCTATGTTTCGTATGGTGAGTGTAGAGAACCACAAAACCGTTTTATTGGAATCGAGGCATTCCATCTTAGTCCTCAAGAGTGACAACGCATGTGCATTTTGATTCTTAATCGAGGTTAAATGTAGATGTCTGTGGGCCGCAACATCCACTTACCATCAGGTGGACTGTGTGCTCGATTTTCATCCTTATCCTATGAAAAAAAAATTCTCTCAACGCAACATATGCAATTAATTATTATCATCATTACTAGCCCACCCTTCACAAGTCCACTGCTGAACGTAGGCTTCTTCCAAAGAATGCCACAAAGCACGGTCCTGAGCCAGCCGCATTCATCGACTTCCTGCGTGTCTTACCAGGTCGTCACTCCATCTAGTGGGGGGGGGGGGTTGCCTTACACTTCGCCTACCGGTACGAGGCTGCTATTCTAAAAACTTTTTTCCCCAAAGGTTGTCGTTTCTTCGAGTTATTTGGCCGGTCCATTGCCACTTCAGTTTACTAATCCGTTGGGCTCTGCGGATATCGTCATCCCTAAGTATATAACGCAGAGAACTCAGAGCATAGCCTTCTCTATAGCTGGCTGAGTGACTTTGACAGTCCTCATACGGCCAGCAGTGAAGGACCACGTCTCAGTTTTCAGTTGTATAGTCTCGTTTTCAGGTTTTAGGTATAGCTGACAAGAAGATGTGTCGTAATTTTTCAAACGCTGCCCAGCCAATATGAATCCGTCGATTGACCTCTCTGCCGAAGTTGGACTTACCTAGTCGGACTATTTGTCCCAGGTAAACATACTTGTCAACAACTTCGAGCTTAGTGTTATAAAGAACATATAGCTGATGTGAAGAATCGACGCTCCGGGAAGTCTGCAGTCTGTGAACACGTACAGGATCGCCCCCGTCACTACATCAGATTTAATAGACCACAAATCCTCGCTAAAGAACACCGATTCTTTCAAAGGATGATTCGCGAGGCTATTGAAATCAAAAAACATCCTAATTTCAATAGAGAAGATGGCTGAGTGCTACCATCTGCTTGGGATCCTATAATAAATAAAATTAAATCCCAACCCAAGCATACGACTGCAAGACTTCAAGATACCATAAGTTCATACTGTGTAGATCGTAACAAAAGTTATATTTTAATCTATGGTAACCACGGTTAACTATGATATCTGGACGTTCAGTCCCCCCGTGACCATGGGTGCTGTAAAGCTCTCGAAACGTTGGGTATTTAAAAAGTTAAATACGCGATAAATTCCGTAAAAACTAGTATTATTTCAATGTGTAGTGTTCGCGTAAATATAAGAAATCATTACGTTGTAGCTTTATATAGCTAGATATTTTCTGGGACTACAAATTATCCCATGAAGGAATTACTTCTTTGGAATGGAGTAACTGATATTAATAGCTGGTGCTTGTTTCTAGTGTTCAGAGAATATATATTTCGGGACACTAGCTGAGTATTTTCGCTAGGTGTTGACTATCAACGCTGGGTGGCGGAGTGTCAACGCTTAGTGGATGTGTAAATATGAATATTGGGTAGCTGATTATCAACGAGCGACTGAGAACCGAATAACAGGTGTACAAAACTACTGAATTTAAAAAAAAATT